CGTCGTTCGCGAACAGCTCATGTTCGGCTCGTTAAGAAACAAACACGAACAGTGACTTCACGAACAATTTCGAACATGAGTTTATTTCAAACGAATCGAACACGAACACAAGCTCTGATCGTTCGTGTTTGGTTCGTTTACACTCCTAATTGCAGGAATTCAGAGAAGTCAGATTACTGGAAATCAAGACAACTGTAGGAAATCAAGGAAGCTGGGCTGTTGGAAACTAGGAAGTCAGACTGCTACAGGGAATAAGCGCAATAAAAAACGGGAAGTACCTTTAGTAAAAAACTGCACCTCCAGCAGTAGGGACGTGAAGAAAATAAGAGAGGATGGACAACTAGAAATTAGAAAGCTGGATTGTTAAAAGCTCCAGAGGAGGACCTATACGGAAAGCTCCGGAGGATGTTCTGCGGCAGATAAGTTCTAGAGAAGGGCCTGATACAGGAAAAAATCCTGGATGTGGGCTTGATGCAGGAAGAAGTTTCAGAGGAAACCCTGTTCAGGAAAAGATTCTGGAGAAGGGCCTGTTGCAGAAAAAGCCCCGAAGAAGGGCCTGTGGCAGGAAAAATCTCTGGAGAGGGGTCTAATGCAAGAAAAAGCTCTGGGGGAGGGTCTGATGTAAAAAGAATTTTGGTGGAGGACCTACTACCGGTATTATTCCGAAGGAGGGTCTGCTGACAGTGGAGTTCCACAAATAAGATACTTCTTGTTATAGCATTGGGAGACTGACCTGTGTGTCTAAAAAAAACTCCTCCATAACCTTTATTTGCACCATAACTAGCAGAAACATACCTGCTCCTCGGAAATCCATAGTGTAATACTTGCAACCCTTCTCACCAAGGGTGATCAGTCGAAGCTTCAAGGTTTGGCCGCTAGAGAACAAAGCCATTTCATCTTTACTAGTTAAGAATTTAAGCACAACGTCAACAACTTTAATGGCATTAGCCTTGTCCCAGATGCTCAAAATTTGTTCCTTTGCCTTTGTTACAGAAGGCCCCAATGCCAGCCGAAGATTTGGGTTATAAGAGAGCAAAATTCCTGCTTACTTGGTAATCTCCGTGACCTTTAAATTTGTTGACCTTGGACTAACTTGCATATACACCCAAATAGAAATTTTAGGTTTGAGAATAAAAGCATTTTGGTAAAATCCAAAGAGAACAACACAATCCATTGTTGATAAATTTCATCGCAAAGAAAATTTTTTGGGTTGTCTTGCCATATTCTGGAACTCTGAGCTGTATGCGAATAATTTGTACTAGTGCAATGAGAGAGGTAAAACAATAACAACTGCACAATGTGTAGTATAACCATCGTGGCCACTCATTTGATTCGTTAATCTAGTTCCCCCACCGTAATTCAACCCCAATGATCGGTTCCGCCAATGCCAACATTGCTTCGGCCTTGGTAGCCCATCCCATCGCTTTCGCCGTCCGCATTTCTCCTCCCAATTCCCTTCTAGGGCAGAAACCACAAAAATCCTGTGGAAGAAAGGAAGAAAAATTGTGAAGGAAGAATGTAGGACATAGGGTTAGGGACTGCGTGGAGGAGAAGGGAAGGAATGAAGAATGTGTGCTGGTGAGGGGCCGAACTGTAGTTGCTTGCACCGTCGGATTCTGTGGAGGAATTTGCCGCCTTTGAAAACAAGCAACAGTGTCGTACTTCCCCTTTTTGAAATTTTGCATCTGGTTGGTTGCGGTAGAGACGATGAACATCATGATGCCGCGTGCGGCTAGGTAGTGATGACGCCACCTTTAGGGCTGACAAGAGCAGAGAAGGTGAAGAAGAAAGAACCGTTGTTTTAAATATCAAGACGAGTGCTCCTCCCCGCACAAAGTATGACAGGAAGGGAGTCGAGCGATTCTGGAAGGAGGACCAGCAACTAGGGTAGGGAATTTAGCTCTAATACTATGTTGAAATTCAGAATAATACGGAATAAAGTAGAATTAAACAGGCATATAAATGACCTTTTACATGAATCTTAGAATTGGAAAGATAATAAAAAGGAAATAATATGAAAGGAAAGATATATCACCCATTATCTCTAATAATCAATTCATTTTAATTATTTGGAGATAAACAGAATAACATAAAATAGGAAAGGAAATAACTTATAATTTAAGGAAATAAATAATTTACTCTTCTTAACTTTTCACGTGAATAAATTATTTCCTAATATAACATCTAACAAATAATTAAGTGATTTAATAGGATGCTCACCTAACATTATTGAGGAACAACATATATTTTTATATTCTCATTAATTTACTAATCCATGATTGGCATGTAACTGTTCTCAGGTACCAAATTATTCTATCAATTACTGGAACGCAAAGGCACTAAGGTTATTATAGAATTCTATTCCTTTTTGTCTTTGAATCGCCTTTCATATTTTGCTGCTGATTTTCTTAGCCAGTTAACATTTCCTCAAGCAGATCTTTTGCTCGATTGTGGTGGGATGAAGTGGTATCAACTGTGCTGACTTTTCCTGATACCCATTTCCAGGTAATTTCTCATCGTCTGTTAAAGTAGTTCATTAGAACCTTCTTAAGTTACTATCACTTTTAATTGTCTTCTTTTCTAGGCTGTTCTACATCCTGAGCAAGACAGACTATTAACTATTCGAGAGACTGCAAGGTTGCAAGGGTTTCCGGATTATTATAGATTTTGCGGGACAATTAGGGAGCGGTAATGTTATTTCAAATTTGTTTTTTCATATTTTCAACACTATCTTCTAATGTTCTCGAAAATATTGCATTGTTAACCTTCCAGCTAGATAATATTGTAGATATGAACGCAAACTTAGGAATATATAAGACAACCCTTGGCTGCGAACACTTTCATCACAAGCTGGTTAACCTTGGTTTGTTCATTGTGATTGGACTGAAAATGTGTCGTAGGTCTGGAATAGTTTGTTATGGAATCTTTTGTCATGCCCCATAACCTCTCCTAATTTGACGTGGGACAAAATAGAGGCCAGTGTGATTCAGCTGATTGAATATATTCCCAACACCCATTTTAGTTCCCTATTTACCAAGATAGAGAGATAAATTCAATCACTCAAAATCACTCGGAACAATGTACAACACAATACTCCAAATTACACAGATCTATTAGAATTTTGCCATCAAATGAAGCTGAAGCATCTAAAGCTTTCATTGAAACATCCATAGTAATTAATACATGTCAAAATTCTTATACAAAGCTTAAACTTTATTTAATAAATCACCTCGATACTTCTTTATTGTACAGGAGCTAAACAACAAAGTATGGTTGTATTTTTGAGTCTGATTCTAACTCAACATCAATCTTTTTCTTTTCTTTTCTTGTAAAAAAATTGTTATAATATAGTGAATTATGAGTATCAACAAGATAAATAAATCTAATACAAAACTCAAATACTTGAGAACAATAAGCAAGATGGGTGTTAATTATTAATGGACATAGTCGTAATATGGAGTATAATTAGCTACTATATCGTTCTAATATTCAAAATTAAATTTTGGTTACATAAAGATTTACATTAAAATGCTTAAACATTGAGATAACTAGAGAATTTGTGTGCTAAGGTCATGCTTAATGTATGATATTAATGATGTTTGAAAGTGGATGAAGTTGAATCTAAAAACTATCTGCTCAAGAATAAGATTAGGCAACCTTGCTTTTGTCTTTGAATGAATGGTTTATGCATTTTCGTGATGAGGTTCATATTAAATTATTTAGGCAATTTATTAAGAACCATGCCTTTCACTATTCATTTGATTGCAAATGATATTATGGTAAAATTCTGATTAAATTATGCCAACTTCTGTGAAACATGTCCTGGAGAAATTTTCATCATACAATATGAAATCTTGATTTCTGTTGAATGTAATAAACATATATTTGAGTTTCTGAAGTTGCGCATTTATTAATTGAAAAAAATCTGTGAAAATTTTCTTTTTTGTTACAAATACCAGAAAGCTATTAATGTATAAGTTAATGCCTAAAAAATGTTGTTTAAGCTGCCATTAACTAGCTTCACTGAATGTTTAACTTATGACTAGAGTCCCAGACACTTGAAATGTCTTCATGAGAACTGTCTGGTAATCAATTGCACAAGCTCATGCGAAACTTTGAAAGGGAAGATAAATTTATTTCCAGTTTATTCCAAAGTAAATTCATATTATTATTTTCTCGATTTAATGGCAGAAGTACAATCAATGTGTTTTAGAACCAGACCCTTTGAAACTTTATAGAAACACATTTTTGTGTTTGATCGGATCTTGAAGCAATATCTATAAAAAAAAGCCAAGCTATAGTAAAACAATTGGTCAAGTCACTCTTTCATGAAGTAGGACAGGAGGCATTTAAGTTTTCTTTTTCTGAGTTGGCATGAATATGGAGTAAATTAGTATCATAAATTCATGTATAGAACCAGATAAGAATAGTAGAATAAATTATCTATCATGTAGCATTTGCCAATTAGCCCGCTATCATGAAACAATAACATTATACGATCTATGTCACAACACTTCATTAGATATGAAACATTTGTGTGCATCAGTTTAAAGTATTTATGATGGTTAAACCTAGCCATGCTGGTCATCTGTAATTGTTTTTGATCTGGTGGTTGTCCTTAACCCGATATCAATAGAATTTTTTCGCTCTGAATTAAGATTCATTGTCATGTTGAGCAAATCATGTCAATCAGTGGGGTGTTGGCATGCCCGATATCGATAGAATTTTTTCACTCTAAATTAAGGTTCATTTTCATGTTGAGTAATTCATGTGAATCAACAAGGTGTTGGCATGCTGCCATCTATATCAATGGAACATACTATACTTACTGTTGAATTACGTGCGAGGAAAAATTGTTCCATTTATTATTCACAAAAAGGTTACACATATATAGAGAAATAAATCCCTCCATATTTAGAAACTTACCAAGCATATCTCACCTAAATTAAGAAAGGAAATAATTCTGAATAAAAAATAGAAAAATATAAAATCGGAAAGGATTAAACTATCAAAAGCTTTTTAAGATATTCCAATCAATTCATCCAAAGATTTGGAGGGGGTGGCTAACTCACATGAGAGGTAAATACGGAAAGAACCACATCTTCTTAGATTTCCACTCCCCGTCAAGCTCGGTTGTAGATGTTGTAGGGACTGAGCTTGGTATGAAATTCTGAGACAGTGTTGAAAAGAAGAGCTTTTGTGTATTTTAGTACTGTCAATCACCTTCTCCTACTCCACCACCTTGTTGTCTCATGAGGTTGGTGTGCGGCTTTAAATTACTTTCAAGGAGTTTTTTCAGTACTTAAATTGCTCCTTAGTGAATTATTCAGCCAACCGTTTGAATGTTGTATTAGTCTTTTTCTCTTGATCGTCCCTGTCCAGAATTCTAGTATGCGGGTTTAATGTTAAGTTTCCAACATTTGTCCTTGATATGCCCAATTTTCTTTTAATAGTCACATGTGGGACGATCTTTCCCATGCTTTGAGTCATGGGAAGAATTATGAGTTTATAGGATCGAGCTTTTAGTACTTGGTCAACCCCCATTTTCAGTGAACATCATCTTTTTTTTGCTCTTCTCTCCTTCTGCAAAGGCTTCACGGGTGGATGGAAGGGGCTTTGTTTCCATAATCCTCACCTCATCCAATTCCTAAGTTAGTCCTACTAGAAATTTGATAGTTCTCTTCTTCTTGATAAAGGATTTAAACATCACAGTATCATGTGAACATTTCCAAATGTGTCTCGAACATATCCAATTGTAGCCAATATTTTGTGAAGGTATTGAAGTATTAAGTTCTTATTGACGTAGATCATGAAGCTTGATTTCGAACTCAAAAAACACGGCAATGTTTTCAGTGTTGGATCATAATTTGCTTATTTCATTGCAGATTTCTTTGACAGTTTTGTAGAGCATAAAATTTTCTCCCACTTCAGCGGACATTGAGTTGAGTAGCTAAGACATAAACATAACTCAAAACTCGTGCCTTCCCCCACAAGATGTTCATTTTTCTTCTACCACAAATGTACATAAACATAAATTGAGACCATTGGAGGTAATTATCACCATTGATTTTTTATTTGCGATAAAGTTAAAATTCAGGAATCGTCTGAACAAAATCCTTGGTCTCTAATTCAAAGTTAATCTTCATAGTAGAACTTCAAGTCTTCATCCCGTACTTGGTTATTAACCCCAAGAGTATTTAAAGTTACTTCTAATTGATTTCGGTCTCTTTGACTACAGTTTCTGTAGTTTCTGTAGGTAGGTGGAAGACTGTTGTAGGAATGACAAGGCTGCAGAGCCTACAAGGAAGTAGATAACATAGAGGAAAAGATACAGGGTGCAGCCTGCAAAGAAAAAAAAACAGTTGTAGGTAAGAACCGAGAAAGGGTCTGCAATAGGGAGAAGCTCCGGCGGAGGGCCTACTGTAGGGAGAAGCTCCGGCGAAGGGCTTGCAGCAGGAAGATTGGTTACAAGGAAAATTTTGGAGGGGCGTTCAACTTGGAGAATTTTAGCTTTAGCGAAGAGGTACGAGCAGGCCTACAATGAAAAATGTGGCTGAGGAAGTTTTGGCTGCATCCAGGGAATAGTTTTCGGTGGAGGAGGGTTTGCTGCTAGGAAGCTTTTGATAGTAATTTCATAGAGGAAATCTTGCAGGTAGAATTCTGGTGCTATGAAGAAAAGGAAGAGCTTCGGTGGAGGGCCTATAGATCAGTTGATGGATTTCTTCGGAGGGCCTGCAACATGAGGGTTCCTGTTGCAGCAAGAGTTCCCTCTGTAAAGAACTGAGTGCCTGCAGGGAGTTTTTGCGGGTTGCAGGGAGTTTTCCAGCAATGATGGCTGAGGGAAATGCTCTAGCGAAGAGCCTGCTAGAGGGAAATGCTCTGGCGAAGGGCCTGCCGAAGTTGCCGCTATTGGTGGTTGAGATTTCAGCTACAGGGAACGTCTGAGCTGCTGTTGGCATGATGAACAGCGTCGTTGCTGCTGCGGGAAGGATGTGGGAAGAGAATCATCCGAGAGCCTGCAGCAGGAAAAGATCTACACAACATGAAGAGACATAGCTGCTTCTTGTGCTGAAGAGACATTGAAAGACTTCTAATAGAGATTCAGTGAAGATGCGATCCTGGAAGAAGATGCTGGCCAAACAGAGGAGTTTCCTGGTAGGGAGGAGCGTTTATTGGTTGGAGGAAGCGGATTCGCCGGGCTACCGGGAGAGCAGGTGAAGTATTGGTTGTAGAGTAGGGCATGCCGGGAAGTGCTGGTTGGAATTCCAACTGAGGTCTGCAGGGGAGTATCTCGCTGAGCAGAGTTCCAGTGGAGGAATGCAGCAGGGGAGTATGCCACTTGGCAGAGGTAAGTTTGCACTCGAGAATAATGATGAAAGAAAGGAGTTTCGGCGGCAGAGGAATACAGAGGAAGCCTGCCATGAGAGCTCTCTATGGAGGGCAAATCCGACCTGACAGGAAGGAGATCCGATTGCAGGAAGGGTGTTGTCTTACAGCTAAGGCAGGGAACTTGACTTTGATAACATATAAAATTACCTGGGGAGTAAACATTGCTCCATTCATTATTCACAAATAGGATACATTTATATAGAGAAATCAATCCCTTCTACTTTAGACATTAAACATATCTCACTTATCTTAAGAAAGAAAATAATTTTAAATAAAAAAGAGAAGCATAAAATATGAAGGAAATAAACTAAATCAAAGATTTCCTGAGATATCCCAATCAAATCCTCCAATATTTTGATGCGATGGCCGGCCCACATGAGAGGTAAATATGAAAAGAGCCAAATCTTCTCAGATTTCCACACCTACATATCACATAAAAATCATAAATGATTTCCAAATATGCTCGATATACATCGATCGGTATGAGCATTGTATTAAACCTGGATTTAATTCTTTGCGTTAGATAGTGACATAAGCCACAATTGAGTTCTGCAGATTATGACATTTGTAATGATTTCTGATCTACTCATGACAGAATAAATGCTTCCCAAATTTAAATCATTCTATGTCTTGCATTGTTTTATTTAATTTTGGATCTGTCGCACTTTCACTGCCCATAAGCATTTTTCTTGCTGAAAAGGTATAACTTGGTATGCAATTTGCTAACTGAAATTCTTGAATTCCTTAAAGGTTTTGTTTCTGTTGCGTGCGGACAACTTTCATTCTATAGTTATGCCATGGCACATAACAAGATTCACGATTGCTCTTCTTTTTGTCCCACATGTTGCTGCTAGTGTTAATTTCGTCATAAATTTTAATTAACCTGCAGGTACCGCCAGCTTGGCAATGCTGTAGCTGTTCCTGTTGCTCGAGTATTGGGCTATGCTTTGGGTTTGGCGTGCATGAGGCAGAGTGGAGATGGGCCACTCATGACGCTACCACCAAAGTTTGCCTTTTCTGACACAGTAGAGCAGCCTTCAAGCTCTTCTGGAATTCAAGAAGGATCCTCTTAAACTCACATCTCATTCTTTAAAGCTTATTCACAATTCAATATTATTTAGCGGGTAAATTCTTGTATTGACCAGGGATCAATCTTCTTCTAATCTAGTCTGATAAAAGAAAGCTATCAATACTTTTCCTTTTGTTTTCCCACTCCTTGCTTGATTCTCTAGGCCACAGAATTTGTATTCAAAGAACTCTGCATCGAGCTTTCCTGCTGCTTCTTGTCCATTGTTCCATTCTTCAATTCTCCTTCAATAAACCGCCAAGATGAGTTTCTTGGTTCTCTTCTCTGGAATCTGTCATGGCAGCATAACTTTAGCATTCAACTATTCAAAATTTTATCTATGATTATCTGCAGAACGATCAGTGGTTCGTACTTTATCATTCTAAATCCATCTATTATTTGGACTGGATTTTATTGTCACTGCGCAGTGAGTTTATTCAAGTGGCAGATTCAGAGGGGTTTGTATTGTGTTAGTTTCAAAAGCTGTTTAGAGAAGGAAAATTTCCCTTTCAGCTAAGTTATAGTTCTCGTTTAGCGACGAGTTTTAAATTCTTAAGACTTGTGGGTTGTATATATGATTGATTGTGATTTAATAATAAAGATTGATGACAGAATCGACTGCTCATTACATTTGATTTCACTTATTGTGATTTTAGCTGCTCTTGCTGTGGGTAGTTTAGAAGCATTTGGTTTTCTAACATCAGTTGTGTTTCTTTCTTCCATAATTTCTTAATGTTTGTTAATGTTTAAGAAAAGTAGTTTTATTCCTTATATTGGTATTTTTGAAGCTTTGCTGCCTGGAGAGTTTGGTCGAAGGCAAATGTGTTCCAATTGGCTGTGGATTGGGACCACTTATCTAAAATGAAGCATATGACTAGTAGTATTGATAGATCTAAACCCCAGAGATCTCTAACTGAGGCTTCTTCTGGGTTTCCGTCATTGCAGTCTTTTCTGTCTTTTCTTCCTTAGAACTGTCCTCTAAGTCGATGTTGATGATTGGATCCCTCCGTTCAATAGTCTTGTTAACTCTTCCTTGCCCTCATCGTCAGCCATGTTCTCAAATGCAACAGATAAAAGAGTTCCTGTCGTCTTGTTGCCAAGAGGTGACAAATGACTATTAAATCGGAGCCGGTAGGTCCCACTTTTGTAATTCATTTACATCTTTAACTCTTTCTTTCACGAGGCCTTGTGAGAAAACTATCTTCTTCGGGAGAGTAATAAGTTGTATTTTCATGAATACTGATTTCGTGAACTGAGAATGGTTGTAGATCTTCTTTGATGCAATGCTCTTTACCTCCTTCATAGTACTTTATACATTGGTGTAGAGAAGATGGTACTATCTTGTATTAATGGATCCAATGCTGACCAAGTAAGGCATTGAACAATGTTTTTGAGTCGATGATGTGGAATTTTGTAGTTGTTGCTAAGTCACCAATCCTCATTGATAACTTTATTGACCCTAGAGCTCTCTCATCCTTTTGGTTAAATCCTCTTAACATTATTTTGTCAATTGAGAACTTTTGAGCGTTGATTTCCAAGTAGGCTAACGACCATAGGTTCATTAGATTAATCGACACACTTGGGTCAAACAACACCCTGGAGAGTGTAAATCTGTTGATGTTAACGGAAATGTAAAACGGTCAGTTATGATCTACAGTGCCGAGCAGCAAGTCATCATATATGAAAGTGACACCAAATTGTTCATTCAACGAACAAACCTCGTCTAAGGAGCTACTAGCCATTTGAGCTAAGCAAATTTCTAGGTCAAGTAAGGCCCTGATCAAAGCTTCTCTCATCTCCTTTGACAGGATCAAAGCGTCGTAAATGCTTAGTTTGGTCGGCAATTTTCTAAGATGGGCTAATACATTATATTCCACTTTGTCAGTCATTCTTTGGGAATCTTATCGCGCAGGCATTTCTTTTGTCTGTGGGGCTGGCTCTTCTTGGACGATTACCTGCTTTCCTTTGTCTTTTGGAACTGTTCTCGGAGGTAAGACTTTTCCACTCCTAAGGTTCACCTCTGTTATTTCTTCCATCCCTTGTATTGGGTCCAGAGTTTCATCTTTTGGAGTGACGACTGGCTCTCCTGGTACTACCCTGAGTCTGAAAGTTCCAACTCACTCGCAATTGGAGTTCCTTGGAATTCTAGAACAGGTGCCTCACTATTTGAGCTATCGTAACCCACATCGTGAACATCTTCTTTAATCACTTTGACGAGTTCATTGGTGTTTACTATGATTTGAGGATTTTCATGTGAATCAAAATTGATGAAGAAATAAACAAGTTCTTTAATCACTTGGAATTCTAGGACACGAGGTTTAGTATGATTTGAGGATTTTCATGTGAATCAAAATTTAGATCATATTCGTTATTAGTTTCATATCACTAAGGACAGTAAAAACATAGCCAAAATCAACTTGTTTTGCATTAACAGTTTGCGAAGGAACATAAATATAGTCATACAAAGTCAGCGGTTTGAGAAATTTCTCCCCCAAATTCGAAACAACCAATCTAGAAGGTGCAACCCTTGACCTACTCTTCGCATCATCAATCTCCGTCTTTTCGGTGATCTTTTTTTCCCTCCTTATCTGTGGCAGTGAGTTTTTTGGTTTGCCCAACATAATCAGCTTGGCAGGTGGTAAGCTATGAGGAGAAACTTGCGCTGAAGATACTTGAATCTGATCTAGAATCTTCTTGGAGGAGCTGGCCCAAACTGTACTTTATTCGTCCTCTGTTGTATAAGGATCAATCGAACTGCCCGGCTGGGCCGAAATCATATTGACGAAACCTCATTCAGGTTCTCTCAAATACTTTTTTTCATATAGTTATAGTTCCATTTTTGAAGTTCCTCTCGAGCCAACCCTTAAAGATAATGCAATCCTCTATGGTATGTCCCAATAATCTATGGTATGAACAGTACGTAGGATGATCCTTATTGTCGACTTCCTCAGGCTTCTTCAGCTCAGGTAACGTGAAATATGGCTTCTTAATCAAATTTTGAAGCATCTTCGCCATGACTTTCTTCTTGAAGGAAAGTCTCTGTCCAACTTCTGCCTCGGGGTCGGAGCCTGACTCCCATCTGTCCGGTAAGGTCTTTAACTGGCTGGCCTGCTGTGATGTTTCGGTCTGAATCTGCATCGATTGCTTGCCTTTGTCAACTGTGGCTACCATTCTAGTCTTCTTCTAGAATGTCTGTCGCTTTCGGCTTCTAGGCCTTCTCCAAAAAACCAAGCTGTTTAGCCTCCTCTGCAGACTCGTGACCTTGTTAAGTAGCTTTTTCAAAGTTTTGATGGTGAATCCCTTCAGCAAGAAACTTACCGGACCATGAATGCTCTTGAGTAAGATCTCAATCGCATGTTGCTCTTGAAGTTGAGGCTTGCATTTCATGCTAAGGTTTCTCTACCGCATAATATAATCTACCAATGTCTCAGTCGACTTCTGTCACTCGATCACAAGATCACCAACAGTGATATGGTGCTGAGCTCCGACAAACCTCTTGACAAATAGATTTTCCAATTATGTGAAGGTCTTTATTGGCCCATTTGGCAAATCCGCGTACCATTCGAAAGCAATGCCCGTAATGCTACTCACAAACTGTCTGAACAAAAGGGCCTCGTTGCCTCCTGCGTTGCAGCAACTTGCGCGAAAATGTGCCTCGTGTTGCCAAGTGTTCCCAGTTTCGTCAAAGGTCTAGAAGGTAAGGGGCACAAATCCTTTGGGATAAGGTACACTGTCAAACTCCTCCGGGTAAGATCTACCTGTTGGAACATATGTGCTTCCTTTGACAGTGTCAGCGCCTCTTTCACTTGCTACTCGACCAACTGTTTTATTTTTCTCTGACAATAAGCTTTGCATCATGTACTTCTTGGGCTGTTCATCTTTACTGGTGGTGGTGAACTCTTTCTTCTCATCTATAATGTGGACAACTTCTGACTGATTTACTTCAGGCAAAGCAACATGCGGTGACTGAGGCTAGCTTTGAAGAGTGGCTACAACAACCATCATCTCCTCCGATTTCTTCTCCATTCGAGTGATATGTTCATCCCGTAGTTAGATGGCCCTTTGAAGCTCATCAGAGGCATTCTCCTGAGCGGGTTGTGGAGCATCGCGCCATGATGGAGTGGCCTGAGTCTCTACTACGAGAATCTCTGCATACTATTTGTTCATATAATCAAATAAGTTAAAATCTCTGTCATCATCATCATGCTGTCTCTTTGACAGCTCTGAAATGTCAAGTATGAGCTTCTTTAGGGTTTGTTCGATCGAATATCCTCTGATCCTCTTGAGATCAACAAGCTGCTATTGGCGAACATCTTTACTGGCATCTGATCCTAGGACAGCAGCAGGTGTCTCGGACTCTGGATCCTTTTCAGTGCAATCATTCTCTATGTCTTGGGTTAGTATTTGACCAGCGACTTTAGATCTCCACCTCTTCTCCTTCGATACTGGTGTCAGAAAATGGGGTGTCTTACTGACGGCATCAGTACGGTGGAGAGAAGGGTGTCCTCTAGCGTGCAAGTCAGATACCATGACAACTGATCGATTGGCCTCCCTCGCCTTTGAGGGTTCTTTATGGACAATAACAGACGATAATCTTGGTCCCAATCGTGACTTGATCAGTCTTCTTCCTGAGGTGTTGATGCTGGTGACGACGGCGGTGGCATCGGTGACGGCGGCGGTGGCATCGGTGACGGCGGCGGTGGCATCAGTGGCGACTCGCTTTCTTAGGCGAAACTTCACGGAGATACGAGACGACGGGGTCTTCTTGTGGACATGGTGCGGCGTAGCGGTATTGTCCTTCAAAATTTCTTCTTTCTTCTTGGGAGTGATGGCATATCCCATCCTCTTCACCAATTCCTTAATGGAACAGTTCTCCCAAGTCAATCTCAAACACCGAGCGAACTCGGGAAAGAGGGGTGGACTTTTCTTTCTTTTCTCCCCGTCGATTTTGGAGAGATGGCAGTGGTAACATGGCTGCAATCTGGTAGACGCCTTCCTCTCTGGCAGCTGCAGACTGAGGATTGAACCCACTCCCCCTGAGGTGAGGTGAGGTCTCCATCGACTCTATCTTCTCTGACAAAGGGACTACTTCTGCTGGTACTGATTTGGTAGCATGTGCCATCTTCGTCTTCATCTCCCTTCTCATTTGATTCCTCATAAGAGATCGTGTCGGTGGCACGGATCAGAACATGATCCAACCTCAAATACTGAGTAAGGCGGGGCAAAGACATCCATCGGGCCATTCTTGTACATAATCTCTTTTCCTTTCTTTGATGGAACAGATGGTGCAGAAATAGTAAATTTGGCGGGCGAAGCTGTAACAGTCCTTGCGGTACTAGATACGACTGGAGCTGTAGCGGGAGCAGCGGTTAAAATGAAGGCAGGAGTGAACTTCACCTTCTTGAGAGAAGGGAAGTCCTGGGCAGAGTACAGGTTGAATTCAGAAGCCGTCTTCGCCATCACATATGATGCTTTTCTGAGTAACACCTCGAACTCGTTGAAGCCGGATCCAAACTGGATCGTAGTTGCCAGATGACAAGAGTCTCGGTCGATGAACGAGTTGAACAGGAAAGTCAGGCTTGGTGAAGACATTCTTCCTGCCAGTTGA